ATGTAGTTTGATCCTAACCCTAACCTCTCAAACAGCTCTTTTATTGCCTCCTTAGTTTGCCAACATTTGTATCATATACTTGTTAAACTTAGTATGAATATTAATAAATATGCTAATGTCCTGCAAAAGATTGCTGGTCTTTATCCCTCCTCTTTATCTTTCTTCTACTGAAAATAAATCATCTTACTGGAGTAAGCTTTAAAAACAGGCAAACATGGGCTTTGTTGAAAGTCATCGTGCCCATAGGATCAAGCCCTAACCTCTTAACCCAGCATACAAAGCTCTTTCTTATCTGGCTCCAGCCAATCTCTCCAGTCCAGTCTTATCTCTAATCACCTCCCACATATACACATACACTCTGACCTCCCACATGAACTGCATGTGCTTCTTGCACTCTACCCTCATGCCCTGCTTAAACTTCTACACATGTTAAGTCACCTGTGGTGGTCTGTTTGGTGACTTAAGTTCACATGTCACACTTTCTGAGACAGCCCTTGTTATCTCTCCTGATACCTTTACCAGCAGTGACAGGCCATTGATCAGTATTTTTTTTTTTTTAAAGACAAGATCTCACTATGTGATTGGCCTGGAACTCACTATGTAGAGTGTCTTCTGAGTACTGGAACTAAAGGTGTGTACTACCACACTTTGTCTAACCCATCTACTTTTGAGTTATCCTCAGATTGCCTTTATCCCACATTTCACATTTTAACAGAGGGTTGCTTTTCTGTCTTAAACTAATGTTCTGTGGCATTTTGACTTTTTTCAGTCTTCTGTCCCTAGTGTATAATCCAGTACATAGTCATTGCATCTTCTTAAAATTATTTTTTAAACTGTCATTATTTCCTTTATGGTTTCAAATACTTCATTACATCAGATTTATTTTGCGTGTGATGGGGGAGAGGCATGCCATACCACAGTTACGGGGGTCAGAGGACCACATGTTGGAGTCAGTTTTGCTCTTCTACCATGTGGATTCCGGGGATGTCAGGCTTGGCAAAGTACAGATAACCCAGAGCCATCTCACCAGTCCCTCAATTACTCTATAAGTAGAAAAAGTGTTCAAGACTGTTATGTTGTGGACTGAGTTCCCAAATGCATAATGCATAAACAGAAAACTATCTGAGCAAGAAATGTCATAATTTCTGTTTTACTCAATACCTATTTCTCTGTTGGTTTTGATCTTTCACCTCTGTTTATCTTTCACATTGTGGTATCTTTTCACTTTCTTATTATCTGGTGTGTGTGTGTGTGTGTGTGTGTGTGTGTGTGTGTGTGTGTACATATATATGAAATGATGTGTGGGTACTAGTTCCTACATTGGTAAGATATGTCTGAAAATGTTGGCTTAATTACTATGTGAAGGAATTTGTGAGATACCTTAATATAATTATTAAGAATCTAAATTATGAGAATGGGTCCTTTCCAGAATTTCAAGTTAGTTTTCTATCTGGAGTTTTGAACAAGTATGTGTGGTATATGTTTGTTAGCAAAACATGTAATAGTTTCTAATTTCATTCTTGTAGTAAAACTTGCTCATAGGATGTGTTTTTGTCCCTCTGATTAATAATGAGGTTGTGACTAAATTCTCCAATATAGTAGCCATCTCACCTGCATTCTGGCCATCTCTCAGTAGAAATTACCTTATATAAGAGTAAAGTTCTCATCCACCAGGATGGTTATACTCCACTTTTATAGTGACCTCTCCCCCCTCATTTTATAGCTTTGCTTCTCTTGTTCAGTTTCTACATGTCCTATATTTACTGCATCCCTGTCTACTTTCTCCCTCTTTATCTTCTATACTCTAAGGTCCTGGGTTAATTTCTGCTCTCCTATTGCCTGTACATGGTATTCATGTCCTTCATGTCTTATGTACTATTTAGAAGGTCTTCTCCGATAGTTTGAACAGTTTCCCATGTTCCGAGGAGTAAAGCACTTAACTCATTTTCTTGTTCTCCTGCACAGCCCCTTTACTGGTTGACATTTTATGTATTTACACTCCTAAAAATCTTTTCCTTATATACATCTTGGATTAATAAAGTCTTTTATTTTTCTTGACCTTTATCCATTTCTGGACACCAGTGACCAATTTTCTTCTGCTGCATATTTATCATTTACTCTGGCTGTTTGAATATTATTTGCCACTAATGAATTTATATGGACAGATGTATACCATTTCTTTGGAACCCTGGAAAACTGAGATCACATCTGTTTAAATCTTTGTACATTGTTTAATTTAGCCCACCATTTATTACCATACATAGATGACTTATAACTTCTTTCTGGTAATAGGAAGTAATGGCTTGCTAAAGAAGATGTTGAGCAGTTAGTAATTATGTTATGCACCTGTATAGTGATACAGATTGTAGGAGAAAAAGAAACTCTTGGCTTCGAATTTTTAAAGCATTCCCTGTTTAAGGGAAAGCAGGTAGCAAAATTAATCTTATAAAAAGATAATGTTTATCACATTTGTTATTTTACCTCTATCAAGTCTGGAAGAGCATATTAAAAATGAAATATAAACAGTATTTTAATAAATCAATCCAAAGAAAGTAAATTTAGGACTTGTCATAGAAATTTCATAATGCCCAAAGGACTAGAATGCATAGAGGATCTAGCAAAAACCATGTTTGTAGATGTTTTCTCATGCAAATCGTTAGCTATGAAGTTTTAGTGATAAAGGCTTGTGCAGAAATTGCTGGAGTGATGTTCACAATAAAACCTAAACAGCAAAAAGTGGGAATGACAGTTTAACTTCTTGAGAAGCAGTTACTGGGAAATGAAGTTAATGGGAAATATGTTTAGAAACTTGAAATGTCCTTCAAAGAGAGAAAGATTTTTCTCTTTCCTCAGTTGTCAGATTCTCATTTATAAAGTGACATGAAAATTGCTCCAGGCATTTGTAATATGAAGTTGGACTTAAGCATAGGAATTTCTGGTTTTAGGGTTAATTTTTCCTTTTTCTAGAATTTCCTATGAACATTTTTCCTTTTAAGTTAAATATTACTAGTTATAAATAAATAACTTTAAACGAAATAGTGTCCAAATGTGATTTGCCCCTTATGTTTTGAAAATTCCTAATTATGCCATATAAATGGATTTCATTATTTCATAATGAACTTTGAGAAAATCTGTCCCCTTACCCTTATTCCTTATACCTCTTCTCTACTTCTCTCTAATAGTTTCTTTTCTATATTCATGTTACTTTTCCCCAGAATGGTATTTTCAGCTGCATTTTATTTATTTATTTTTGACTTCATGCTTAATTTAAGTTGAATGTTTTGAAGACCAAATCCTAGTCAGTACTCTTTCTGGGCAAGAAATTTGCTTTGGGACAGGAGAATCTTAGGTATTTTTAAAGGAACGTAATGTTTTTTACAAGTTAGGTAGTTTTTGTTATCTTGGTAGTTTTAGCTTAGTTTTGCTTCATTTTCTTTCCTAAAGAGTAGGACCTGATCATAAATAATGGTAGGAGGGAGATTTTCCTTGAAATTTGCCAGGGGTATGTGCATTGAGAGATGTTAATAGATAGTCATGTGAGAAAGGGAAAGAGTCTTGGCTGATTTTGGAAGTATGCTTTGTCATTCTTACCATAGCACTACAGTGTCATCCTTAGCATACTACAGGGAGTGAAGAAAGGCTACAGTAAATGGCTTAACTTGTGTAACCAGTTTAATTTTCAAACATTTGACTACAGAGAGTTTTTTGGTACTCATTTACAGTCTTTGAAACAAATTACCAAAAACAAAGTTGGAATAACTGACAAATAGGTAATAATGAATACCCTTCTCAAAATCTTGTTTTGTAACAAGGAAAGTGTGTCCCAATACTTGATTTCCCATATTAAGGTCACTGGATCTGGAGTGTCCTCTGTTTTATAGATATCCACTTAGAGGTCTGTGTTGAGAGTGGAAAGACTGAAGAAAAGCAGTCAGGAACTTAATAACAAACACCTGTAATGTTATTTTTAAAAAAATATTTTTCTTGGGAAATTTGCAAATGGGCATTGTACAGAGCAGAGTACAATGAACATTTTACTAGTTTCTTAAAGTTAATGTTTCAGATGTTTCAACATGAACTAATGATTTGCTAAAGAGGAAACATGTTTTATTTAGGCCATCCTTTGTCAATTAATGATTTAAGTGAATTTGATTCTTAGAATGGACTTGTCTCCCTACAATTTGGAGATGTAAGCCAGGTATGGTGGCACAGCACCTGTAATATCAGAGGTAGAGGTAGGAAACCAGGAGTTCAAGGCTAGTCCTTAGCTATATAAGGCCAGCTTGAACTACATGAGACCCTGCCTCAAAAGAAAAAAAAAAAATATGGAGATGTTTGTAAAGGTTTAACTTAACAATAACAGGCTAGATAACAAAATGACAAGAAAAATTCTCATAGTTAGCCCTCAATAATTCAAATTACTTTTTAACATTTTTTTTCACTTACAGGATAAAACGTAATATTGATGCTTGTTGAATCAGCAGAACTGGCTTCATCTGGTGTCATTTTGATTTTCTGTCATCTTTTTCCCTGCCCCATCAGGCAATAATACATACTTACACTGGTACAGATAACCTGACACTTCTGGAAAAAAAAGGGCCATATTTTAAAAGAAATTTTTGTTTCTCTGTCTTTTTTTTTTTTTTTTTTATCAGTTTCATTGTTCATCCTGACTTCCTGATGGTTGATGCCAGGGTTTGGCTCATCTTAACCAGGAAGAAGCAGCTAGGGTTATATTGGTTGATGGATTGAACCAGTGGTGACCATGGGTTTTTATTATTATTATTAATTATTTTAATCATGCCAAAAGGATATGACCTGGAAATGTTGGTCTACTTAGAAATGAACATGTAGAGAATGGATGTTGGGGAAACAACCAATAATGTCCTTTTATACCAAGTAAAAATAATCCTATGGCAGGCTATGTTAGATATTCTTAATGCCCAATAAGATGTTTAGGTACTTTTATTTAGCAGGTCTTTTTTCTTGGGTCTTTCTAGAGGACAAGACTTTTGGGCAGATTTGAATGCCATGACTGTATTTGAAACAACTGAATTTGACCAACTACGAAGGCTGTGTACACCACCCTGTAGTAATACAAACGCTATTTACAACACATATTGGAAATTCTTCTGTAGAGACCACTTTGGATGGAGAGAGTATCCTGAGGTATTTGCATGTTCTTTTTTCTTTTAAATGCTTTCAGTTTTTTCCTGTGGTCTTTTTTCCTTTCCCAACAGTGACTAGAACTAAATACCTTAAGGATGTAATTTTTTTTAAAGTCTTGCTGTTACAGGTAAAACTTCTCTCTTCATATTTCTAAAAGTATATTTCTTTACATCAATCTGAAACCCATGCATAGAATGCCACTAAAGGACTTTCCCAGAATCTTACAGTATAGAGATGAAGTACTTACAGACTTGGTGCCATCTACATAATAATTTTAATGAGATGAGAATTGGTATAACTTTTAACTATATCTGCCTTCTGTGCTTATAGAAATTAAACCATGTTAAATTTAACATTTTTAGAAGCCAAATGGAACAAGAAGCACTCTTGAGTCCGTGGAAGAAGTGATTGAATAGGTTAAGCTATGGTTAGGCAAATCATTTCTTTAGAATTTTATCATGTGCACATGCATTCATATTATGAGGTAGAACTCATCAGTTACAAAGCATTGCTTGTAACTGAATCTGGATGTCAGAGATCAAGTTCTTATTCCAATGATCTGTCAGTTTCTTAATGTCATTTGTAGAATTACAAAAGGAGATTTTGGAATGTATGTATTTTTTAAAGACATGGACCAATATCTTAACCCCAATTAAACACACTATTGATGTTTAATTTTGCCATTTAAGAATTGATTGGTATCTGCCTTCTAAATAGGGTAAGGGGGTGTTTAAATGTAATTCTTGGACTATCCTTGTGCTCTTACTCTCAGGTTTCTTAGGCTTAGAACTTTTTGTTTTTTGCTTTTTAATATATTGATGCTTTTGAAATTTGGGCCCTTTACCTTTACCTTTAATTCTCATTCTGAAAATTTCCTTAACAAATGTAAATCAAGAAAGTCTCTTAGACATCATTAAGATTGAAAATAGAACAGACCACTGAGCCTCACATGTGTCATAAGGCAGATATCCATGCTCTTGTGAACAGAGAATGTCTTTCTACTTTAAATATTTGAGGGACAGAAATCCTAACTATAGTTTGATTTATTGTATTTATTGAAATTCCTTTGATGTTAGCAGTTATTTTTCTCATATCTTATAGAGATTATAAATTTGATTTTCATTTACCTTCTATTTTCTCCTCTGTAGTCTGTTGTTCGATTAATTGAAGAAGCCAACTCTCGGGGTCTGAAAGAAGTTAGATTTATGATGTGGAACAACCATTACATTCTCCACAACTCATTCTTCCGGAGAGAAATAAAACGGAGACCCCTTTTCCGATCCTGTTTCATACTGATCCCATATTTACAGTAAGTTTCCAGTTGTTTTTTTCTCTTCATTTTTACTTTCCATTTATGTAAATGCACTACTGGGTACCAAATTTAAGAGAATTATTTTGGTTGCTATTACCAGAATTTGAAATTGTGCTTTCTTTAGATTGAATTCTTCAGTAATTCGAGTTCAAATAACTGTGGTTCACCCAACCCTAAAAGCATGAGTTTTATATTGGAGTTTTGAACTGAAAAGCAGGTTGTAGTTAACATTTTCCTACAACTAAAACAACATGTTTGGAATGAAGCTGTTTCTTTCTTCTAAGGAGATGCTTCCAAATTACAAGACTCAGATAAATGGCCAGAAGACTTGAGTGGAGTTCTGTAAAGTGATATTCTCCATTCTTTCTTCCTTGTGCAAATTTTAATATGATAATTGATATTCTTTCTTGATTAAGTAAGGCATAACTTCTTGTGATATTGAAATTATCTGTCCTAGTTCCTAAAAATATAGTTTCTTAATAAAAGAAGTTAGGCCTCACATGAATTGCAGGTGAGTGCTTTCATCTTCCCAAGTTCCACTCTTTCCTTCCCTCCAAACAGTCCACTGGTATATCTTTATAGATACTGAAGGACAACTCATACAGTAGCCTTTGAGCGTTAGTCTAGGGTGGCTCAGTGGTTAATGGCTCTTCCTGCCAAGATTGATAATGACCTGAGTTTGATTTTTTTGGACCCAAAGAGGTGGAAAGAGAACTGACTCCTAAAAGTTGTCCTTTGACCTCCACTCATGCTCCATGGCACATGTGAGTGTAAAAAGTTTATCTAGGACAATTATAACCTCTATCCATATATACCATTACTAGAGTTTGCTTTGAAGGTGATACTATGTTTATTTAGTTTCTGTGAACTAAAATATTTTGATCCATTTTGATCTGTAAGGTAGAAGTGTTGTTTTCATATTTCTACTATTTTTATTTCAAGTCGTTCATGGAATTTAATAAATTTAATCCTGGAATTGAAAGAGGACCATTAAAAAAAAGTCAAGCTGGTCATGATGACTCGGGCTGTAACCTTGGTGCTTAGGGGGTAAAGATAGGAGGTCTTCGAGTTTGAAGCCAGCCTGGGATGCATACCAAATTGCAGACCAACCTGGGCAACCAAGGGAGACCCTGTCTTAAAACACACACACAACACTCCAAAATGAAAAGAATCCCTCAAACAATTAGAATTCAAAGTCAGCTTGTAAATAAGATAATTTTAGAAGTATATTGGCTTATATTTTCTTCCAAGTCCATATTTGAAAATGAAAATTGTTAACTTCTAAGTTTTTTTTTTTTGTTGTTTTTTTTTTTTTGTTAGAAGTAATAAAAAACATTATTGCTGGGATTTCCCTACTAGCACAGCTGGAGCTAGCGTCTACATCCAGTAGTTAGGAACATAGTGTTTTCTTGGTGAGACAGTAGAACTCATTAGTAAGACCAGCAGCTTGGCGGCAGAGCTAAAAGATGCAAGATGTGGCTTCTCTCTTAGGGTCTTAATTCTCATTCAAATGCTACATTGTTGGGGAAAGTTTTAAATGGTGAAAAGAGGTACTTAAGGGATTATGCTCCCCACCTTTTTTTTTAACCTTATATTTAAAGGTATAAAATAAAAATAATATGAGCACAAATATGCCCTTTTTTATAATGCAGACTTGCAAAAAAAGAAAATAATTATTTGCTTTTTCTTTTCAAAAATTCTGTTTTAGTCTTCCTGTCTGAAACAGGAATAATAAAAGGATTAAAATGAGAGATCAGCAAGGCAATGAGAACAGGCAGATGTTTCAAGAAGAAAAGCATAGAGTAGGGTTGGCCAGGATGAAGTATTAAATACACCATCCGATCTGCATTTCTGGTATACAGCTGTAGGACATTGCCTCCTACTATGGAGAAGGAGGAAGGGGGATTTGTTCCAAAAAGCAGATGTCAGGGGTCGAGTTCTTAACTAGAGAGAATGTTTTGTGTTTTACATTTAATCATTAAATTCAAAGAATCAAAGGAAACAATTTCCAGCACATTCCATTGTTTAAAGAATTTTCCTGATGCTGATAAGAAGCCTGTTCTTTAATATTCCTAGAATACTTGAACTGAAGTAACATAAGCAACAAATCAAAATAAGGGGCTTGACAGGATGATGTGGTGGACTTTTGGGAGCCCCCGTGGAAGGCTCTACCCTCTATGGGGAGTGAAGGGGGGAAGCAGATGGTAGGAGATTGGGGGGGAGGAGGGGGAGAGGGAGAAGGGATTGACATGTGAAATTATAATTTGTAGAAATTAAATAAAAAATTAAATAAAAAATAAAATAAATATAAAGGAAATAATCAAAACTTTGGGAGAGTGAAATCATAGTCTAAAGGATATAATAGAGCTAAAATTATACTCATCAGTCATCAAAAAAAAAAAAAATAAGGGGCTTGAGGGGCCATGTCTTACAGTTGAAAGGACATCTATTACATGTGATCTTCTCATGGTTATAAGAATGCTAAACTTGGTTTCTTTGACTCTTCCCTTAGGGGATAAAATTAATTCATTTTTATTTCCGTACTAAAATTGGTTTAGGAAACATTTCAAAATGGTAAAGGGAGACAAGGAGAGTAAGGTTGGAATTGGAAAAGCCATTCTTCAGAATGTTATGGGGTATGTTATTGGTATAATACAAGCTGAATAAAAACAGCATTCTCAGTGGTACATTTGTAACATTGCTTGAAACATACACAGCAATACATATGCACACTTTTTTTTTTTTGACATGGCAGCTGGAGTATAAAAGTCCATCATACATGTCTTTAGATGTTTTAGTAGGGTTAGAAAGTTAGCTTGATGAAAGCATATATGTGTGGGAATAGATGTTACCCATATATAGAATCTAGAATATCTGCATATTCATGTTTATTGCTGCACTAGTCATAATAGTCAAAATAAAGAATCATCTTTACATGCCCATCAATAGATAAATAAACAGAATATATGTTTACTGTTATATGTAAGGCAGATATGAAAGTGGAACAGGGAGTCTGGGAGGAGGATAGGGGACAATAAAGAGTAATGGAATAAACAAAGTACAAAGCTATACATGTGTATTATTTACCTTTCTCATTACCTTGGCAAAATACCTAATAAAAACAAACTTAAGGAAGGAATGGTTTGTTGTGGCTCATAATTTGAGGATACAGTTAATGATTGTGGCAGGAAAGTTATGTTGGAAGATATGTGAGATAGCTGGTCGTGCTATGTCTGTTAACAGAAAAGAATGCTGTCTTCCTTTTTACTTAGTCTGAGACCCAGACCAACTGGGAATGTCTTTACAGAATGCCATTAGGTTTATTCTTGTGTGATTATGAATCCTGTATGATTAACCATCATAGCATTTATAAAACATCATAATGAAACCCATTATTTTGTATTCCAACTGTAAATAACAAATATGTCTTAAGTAGAATGTTTGGGAAGAATCTTGTCTTTGTTGGAAATGTCAAACTTATTATTGAAATCAAGTGGGCTATTACCTAACTTTGCAAAGCAGGATAAAGGGAGGAGCTAAAAGTTCAACACTTTCTTGTAATTTGTTCAGAATAATGATGGCATTTTAAGGAGAGCTAGACTTTTTGAGGATCTGATTAAAGAAGTGAGGCTTCTCTTTTGAAAAACATACCAGTGAAAAATATAAGCATTGTAACAGGAAAATAAACCTGTACCATGTTTCAAAGTTGTCAGGGCTGTCATGATCCAAAAGACAAGAAATGTGTGTCTTTTGTTGTAAAGGTTGGAGAAACTACTTTAAATATGCCCCTGAATCCACCCACTTAGAACTTTGACTTACAAAGGGGCTTTGGGGCACATTGAATTAAAGGAACAGCTACTTACTTGAAGCTGACAGGGATTAGAGAAGGTAACTGTGTTTCTATAGCATTAGCTTCTTAATAGACCATCTTTTAAGAGTATAATGGCAATGCAGTAGTACTAATACCAGAAATAGTAGTTGTCATAAGAATCAGGCAAACATCTTGTTCTATCACTTAGTAGCATTATTTTATTGTAAGTTGTAAAACATGAAAACAGAGAGAAACAGGTCTGGGTTAAAAAATGGATCATCTGCTATATTAGGTTCGAATTATTAACCTCTCTGAACAGTTTCTGTATTTGAAAAGCAGGGATAATCAAACCCCACTGTCACTTGTGACAGTGATATTGTGTGTGAAATATGTATACATGCTCAGTAGGTGACTAATGAGAATGATGGTAGGAGATGCTCTATAGAGACAAGATGAATGTTCATATATGACTGTAACCTCTGTGTCACAAAGCTCTTTTGAAAATGTCAATTTCCTAATCCACTTGGCAGACATTACTCCTTCCTTGTGACCACCATGTACTGATGAGTGAGTGTTACAGTACCCTGGTGCTGAAACTAGGTCTCAGGGTCAGGATTTCCTATTCTTCGCTTCTTCCCTTCTCCTTGTTTTGAAATAGCTGAGAAGTATGATTTAAATATATGGACTGGATGAGAAAAAGCAAGCCTACTGTTTATTTAAATTCATCTTTGTAAGTAACAAAGCTGAACTCAAAGATTGAATGAATGGTGCACATTCTGGCATCTATTAGCTCTATTTGAGGGTAGAAGGCAGGGAGAAGGGTGCTGGATATTGAACCCAGGGCATTAAACATCACAGATAATCATTTAATTACTTGATCCTACCTAACCTTATTAGTCCCCTAGTTAGGGTTTTTTGTTTGTTTGTTTGGTTGGTTGGTTTTTGAGACAGTTTCCCAGGCTGACCTGAGGTTATACTTGACTGCCTCTTATCTCCTCCTGAGTGCTGGTGTCATAGCTATGCACCAGCACACTCAGGTTTATGTTCTTCCCTTCAGGAAGTAAATAACTTACTAATACTTAAGCACTTAAGTATAAAACTGGACATTAACGCAAAGCATTGTATACCATGAGATGTACCAATTCCTGACTGCTTTACTTAGTGTTTCTTCTCCATTTTAGGACACTTGGTGGGGTTCCCACTCAGGCTTCTCTGCCTCTTGAAGCAACTTCATCACAAATCATCTGCCCAGATGGAGTAACTTCAGCAAACTTTTACCCTGAAACATGGGTTTATATGCATCCATCTCAGGACTTCATCCAAGTGCCTGTTTCTGCAGAGGATAAAAGTTATCGAATCATTTACAATCTTTTTCATAAAACTGTACCTGAATTTAAATATAGAATTTTACAAATTTTGAGAGTTCAAAACCAGTTTCTTTGGGAAAAATATAAAAGGTGAGTCAGAGGTATGAAAAATTTAAGAAAACATTTCTTAATATAGCTGTTATCAAGTATATAAACACTTGCATAGTATAATATATTCACATTTTTCCATGTAAGCACACATCTACTCATCATAATATACCTATAAATAGTACAGTTAAAATTTATAATAAACTATAGTATAATTTTTTTTGGCACTTTACTTTCATAGCTAGTTTACTATATTTTTACCCTTGAAACCGTAAAGCAAAGTTTGACTGCATTCTGTTTATTATTATAATTTGCATGTCCTCCTAAATACCTGTCTACTTTTTGCATTAGGAAAAAAGAATATATGAACAGAAAAATGTTTGGCCGTGACCGAATAATAAATGAGAGACACTTATTTCATGGAACATCCCAAGATGTAGTAGATGGAATCTGCAAGCACAACTTTGACCCTCGTGTCTGTGGAAAGCATGCTACAATGTTTGGACAAGGCAGTTATTTTGCAAAGAAGGCAAGCTACTCTCATAACTTTTCTAAGAAGTCCTCCAAAGGAGTCCATTTCATGTTTTTGGCCAAAGTGTTGACTGGCAGATATACAATGGGCAGTCATGGCATGAGAAGGCCCCCTCCAGTCAATCCTGGCAGTGTCACCAGTGACTTATATGACTCTTGTGTGGATAATTTCTTTGAGCCTCAGATTTTTGTCATTTTTAATGATGACCAGAGTTACCCTTATTTTGTTATCCAATATGAAGAAGTCAGTAACACTGTTGCCATTTGAAAACCTTGGTACTACTAAGTTATTTGATATGAACTCAATCCAGCATTTGTAGCAGGTTTGGGTGGGACTGGGTGGGAAACAGCATTGAACAGAAGTAGAATTCTTTTCAGGCCCAATTTTTTTAAGTGCTAGAAAGTAATTTTTTTTTTTAAAGAAATAATGGGTTTTTAAATGGCCACTCATTATTTAATTATTTACTAATTGTTAGTGTACTCAGTGTGGAAAAGACTAAAGAGTGCATATTCTTCATTCACACTTGTACATATAGGCAGCAATATTAGTAGAAGTGTTTGGAGACAAAAACAAAAACAACTGACTAGCCTAATTAAATGTTGCTTGGGTCTGGTAGGAGTTTGGTCAAAACAAATAGAGGCTGTGAGCAAAGTGGGGATTCTGTTTACTTAACATTGATAAAACCAACTGGAACTGATACTACCATGCTTATTACCTATCCAAAGCATTATGTGTTATACTTTGGGGTAGTATAGGTTCATGTAATTTTGGAAGGTGGGAAGAATTTTTCATTCTGTGGGCAGAACTGAAATACATGACCCACTCAGAAACCTCCAAAATTTTCCTGAAAATTCAGTATCTATACAGAGGAAGTAAAATAATAACAATAAAGGAACCATTTGGAAAAAATTGTCACCAACAAAATTTCCATTAATTAGTTGTGGAGTGTGATACATGTGTTAAATTCAGCCATGGAAAGAAAAGTCAGTTTCTTCCAATGTTGCCCACTACATTGGTTAAAGCCAGTCTAGAGGGTTAAAAGTACTTCTTTTGGAATTCCAGACCTAGCCCCAGACTGGTATTAAAACAATAGAAGACATCTACATCCAAAGTGAAAGGCTGCTTACTGTGCTTTGCCACAGCTGCTGAGTTGAGTTGTTAAAGACAGCAAGCCCACCCCTATGCCTGCTTTGCCAGATGCACTGGATTTCTTGGCTGACTCTGTACCTTACACTACTTACTTTAATAGAAACACAAACTTGGAAATAGTGCCACTGGCCCAGCAAGAGCATTGTTGGGTGAATGTGCTGTTGCCTCAATTCACAGAGGTAGTACTTTTAAGCAAAGTAAAAACCTGAATAACTAAAGTGAAAGTGACTGTTCATAAAATAATTTACCACAGAAGTCCTTCAGATACCAACCTCTCCTTGTATGTTTGTGGTTATCTCATTTACCCAAACTTTACAGGAAATTCTTTGTTATTTAAAGCAAAGTATAGCTGTACAGACCTCTCAGTGAATCAGTCTGTTTAAGCACTTACCAGGGCTTCCACATAATTATTTATTTTGCCCTAGTTGTTCCTGTTGTTTGCTGCCATTGGCAGGAGGAAAAGGGCAACTGTGGCAGTCGTTCATTCAATTATAACTTGTAAACCAGTGATTCCCAAGTCGTTTTCAAGTTAAGACATGTTACCATTGCTTGTTTGATTTTATGGAACTTGTTCCTTTTTTTCTCCCTAAAGGAAACAAAAGCTTTATGACATATTTATTTTTTTAATAAAACTAAGCAAAAATAAAAGTTAATTCTTTAAAACCTTTGCCTTGTTCTGTTTCCATATAAAATAACAAATCACTGAATAATTGATGATCTATAAATGTTGAACCAGTTGCTTGATTGGCTGGGTGAGTGGGTTGATTTGGTATTAGAAGACTATGGTGGAATCTGAAGAGACCTGTTGAGAACATGCTGCTTATCAACTCTTCTGCTTGGGAATTGAAGAAAGTATATTACCTAGTTACCAACTGTAAGTCACAAGAAAAGAATGAGTATTTTTATTTGCACATATGTATCTGGGGCAAGGGACGAGTTCCATATCAGCAAATATCTATAAAGAAAAATGAGCTAGTTTGAATTGTATAAAGGAAATATAAAAAGGAATTGTAAACTCAAGATTTCAGCCTAATGAAATTCCTCTGATGAGTATATGTGAGCACTTCAGACACATAAATCTGTCATGGTAATAATAACTTTTGTTGCAGAATATTTATTTATACTGTAAAGATGTCTCTGCCTTAGGAGCCTTCAGATTGGTTTAATAAAGAGCTAAATGGTAATAAAGAGCTAAATGGCCAATGGCTAGGCAGGAGAAATAGGCAGGACTTCTGGGCAGAGAGAGGAAATTGTAGATGAAGCTAGGCATTTGAGAGAAACGCCAACAAACATAGACTAACATAAATGGGTTAAGTTATAAGAGCTAGTGAGATAAGCCTAAGCTAAGGCCTAGCTTTCATAATTAGTAGTAAGTCTCTGTGTTGTTATTTGAAGCTGGTGACAGAAAAGTCCAACTATAGACTGTTTTTATTGTTTTGAATTATCAATATGTATGTGGTCAGTCTAAATTTTGTAATGGCTGTATGGGCTTGGAACATAATAAAAGGCATTTAGTGACTTTCCTCCTACCAGCACAACTATAATTTATGTCATTTCGTTTAAAATATGACTGAAACATCTAAGAAGGGAGTCTGCAGCCTTCTTGAGATATTTCAGTGTTGTATAGTACTATACTAGAGAAGATGTTTCCCTCCTCCTCCTCCTCCTCCCTCTCCCACACCGCT